ATTTGTGCAGTGTTAAAGGTACTTCAAAAAACACTAACAAGCTGGGCTTGCTGTATATTTTTAAATTGCTGTTGAAACTGCTTACATGCACAGAAACACTTGCCGCTTCATACACACACTAAATGGTCACGTTCAAGTTTTTTTCTTATTACCCGGTGATCAAGAATGCAGTCAACAATTGCACCATTGTTTTACATCTGTTGCAAGTAAAACCAGCCTTCCATTTTCATTGGCTCCATAGATAGGCCGTGTGCAATGTTTTACTACACCAAAATCGGCATTTTTCAATGTCTGCCCATGTGTTGCGTTATACCTGATTTGACGCAGAATTGCCTTCACATGATCTGGGTAATATAATGTGACCAATGCCAATAGGTTTGCGTTAGGTGCATCCAACGTGGAATGATGTTGAAAAATGGACATTTCGTGCAAAACGCGTAAACCGTGGCAGAACATGCATCCGTTTCGTACACGCGATGAAAGTACTATTGACCCTCATTTGAGACGAAAAAGCATCCGTTTCTGAATTTGAATTTTTTGCAGCAAATTGGCTGTCGCGGGATTTGTGCCCACTTCCATGTTGACAACAACGGCACTGAATATTTGTTCCATCATTGTGTATCGTTTGCACGTAGAATCTGCTTTGAAACGTGGAATCTCATTGTATTATGCATAATTAGACGCGTAATCAGACGAGAAATACGATGGTGTAACTTGAAATTTTATCAACTGCAGTTTTAAAATTTAAAAAACCAACATGTGGCGCTTGCTGAAGATTTTGCAATTGTTGTAGAAATTATTTACATGCGCAGAAACCACTTGCCGCTTCATGTACACACTAAATTGAACATGTTTCATTTTAGAACACATGTTCGCATGTTTAAACTTGACAATTTCTCACACAAAAAATGGTCACCCGCAAATCTGTTTTTCTCATCACCGAGCGATCAAGAATGTAGTGGATAACTTGCAGCATCGTTTGCAAATAAAAGGAGCTTTCTATTTTTTTTCGTTCGAGAGATATGAAGCTGACACGCTTTACTACCCGAAAAACGGTCGTTTTTAAATACTGCCAAGGTGTTGCGCTACGCCTGATTTCACGCAGAAAAACCTTCCCATGGTATGGTGTGACATAAGCTGTCCAATACCGATAGGCTTTTTAGTAAGGTGCAACCAACGTGTAATTACGTTGAAAAGGAGCGATTTCGTGCAAAAGGCGTCAACCGGAACATACATGCATTCGTTTCGTACACGCGACGAATTTACTATTGGCCCTCATTCAAGACAAATCAACATGCGTTTCCGAACTTTGACTTTTTTGCAACTAAAGGCCGTTCAGTTCCTTGACAACAACGGCACTGAATGTTTGTTCCATCCTTGCGTATCGTTTGCACGTGCAATCTGCTTTCAAACAAAATGGGTTTCAGAAGCAAAA